CCCCCCCCTCCACGTCAGCTGGGAGTCATGGCGAGCGGCGAGGCTGCTGTGCACATCTGAGGGTGTGCGTCTACGTCAGGTGAGCACCCATGGTGGGTGGTGGTGGGGAGGGGTGGGGGGGGTGCATGGTGCCAGCCTCATCGCTGCACTGCGTGGGAGACGCCTCCCGTCCCCACACACACTCCCATCCTTCCTGCACTGATACGTGAGCCCATGATCTGCAGTGGGAATGACCTTGGGACAGTGCAGCACGGAGATGGCATCCGAAAGACCGAGACCCCCCCTCCGTCACACACTTATCTTCCGGTCACATGACCCCAGCAGTACTCGTTCTCTCGACACAGAGGGGAGAGTCGACTGCAACGAGTCCTCGACAGACGGACCCATGAACCGTGACCCCCCCCCCCACGGGGCGGAGAGGTGGGGGCCGGTGACCTAAACTCTCTTTCAGTGGTTTCTCATGGAATAAAAACAGCAGATGAAACCATCGTGAACAACAAGGTGTCCAACGCGTTCTACAATAAGCCAGCAGAGATTTCTTCCTGTAGGGTTTAGAGTGCCGTTCCACAGCAATGGCTCCGGTTATAATGAATCTGGCGTCTTTGGAGAGTTCTGTTTTAGAACGATGTACTTTGTCACGTTGCAATTGTTTCTTTGCAGGAGAACGTGGAGGCTTCATGCAAAGTGAAGCAGCATTTCTGTGGATTATTTATGATTCAGAAAATCGCTCCCAGCATGACGTCACTCGGTAGAAACGGCCGATCAGTAAATCACATTTATATCAACATTGGAACAAAGGAAACATAAAGGAAATAGTGGATTCATCTATTTAATGAATTTCTACATGCTCTGAAGTGCCACCCCCCCCCCCCTCCCTTCTTACCCTCGGCGGCCTGGATGTGGTACCCGTCCCCGCGGGCCGACTTCTCCTCCAGCAGCTGCATGGTCCGGTCCAGCAGGCCGTGGATCACCTCGAAGCCCGGGCTCTTGTTGTAGTAGACGGCGCAGAAACGCCGGCTGTTCCTCGCCCCGACATCTAACCGGGAGGGTGGGGACAATTGAAGTGAATCAGGTCCGGTTTTTATTTTATTTAAATTTAATTATGGAAGAGATGCCTTCTTTCTAGTTTGTTTTCTTATATTTATCGAGAAATTGGTGTCTGCGACAAGCTGCTGAAATAAAATGGACTTTAAATCGGACATCTCACAAGCGGAACATTTATTTCCAACTGAGAGGTTCGACATCCGGGTTTCTGATCTGAATCATCGCCGGCTGCCATCACGCGTCGCGTTGAGCGAACGATTCGGCGCTTCACAGACGCAGTCGCCCACCTTTGGTCTCGTCCTTCAGCACCACGTCGGATATCTCAAACAGCTTGAGGGGAAGCGGCATCTTCCTGTTGGCTGCTACGGTTTTCAGCAGGCCGGGCAGCAAGGTGGTGCGCGCCACCTGGTGGAGACAAACTGAGGTGACGCTGGAGTTTTCCAGAGGACGAGTTTAAAGTTTGGCCAACGAAGTAAAACTTCATCCTGTTCTATTCATCTGCATGTTTTCATTTTACTAAATTGAATTGTGAATAACGTAAAACATTAAATGATTTCCTTTCAGGCTCCGAAATGAACAATTGGATTTATTTTCCAGGTTCAAACGGAACTGCTGTCATTTAACACCTTAAAGCTTTGTAGAGTCATTTATATTCTGCTTTACCTGGAACTCGGCTGTCTTGGGGTTGGCGATATGAACCGCTCTGGTCTCGGAGATCTTCTTTCCCAGCTTGTCGGCTATATCTTCTTTAGAGCACTACGGGGGGGCGAGTGTCACTGCTTATGAACTCAGCCTGTGTTGTTGCTTCCCCTCACAAACATGCGTCTTCTTCTTACCAGGGCAAAGGTCAGCGCCTCCGTGAATCCAGCGGCGGCGAGTTCCTGTCTCAGCAGCTCCGTCAGTTTATTCACCGGCAGCTGAGAAAACAAACGAAACACACGCCGCGGTTTTTTTCAGCCACAGAGAAACACGCGCGCGTCCAACCGTGCAGGAGGAGACGCCCACCTGGTGTGCGACGGTGTAGGTGAGCGGCGTGGTGTACGGGATGTTGTTGAACCCGAAGGCCATGGCGGCGTCCTCCATGATGTCGCAGGCGTGGATGACGTCGGAGCGCGTGGGCGGGATCTCGACCTCGATCTCGTCGCCGGCCCCCGTGACCTCGGAGCGGAGGCACATCTTGGTCAGCAGCCGGGCGAGCGTCTCGGTCGACTCGCTGTCGGAAGGAACGCTCGTTAAAAGGAAAGCGTTGTCAAGGAAACGCTGACAGGAGGAGCCGGGGGGGGCGGGACTGTGTGCGTTTAGAGCATGAATGGCTTTTTAATCATTCACGATGCAAATTATCACGTCTCACAAAACGTTTATTAAAAAAGGAAGATGAAATTGAAGATATTGATACAGAAATATGGGCTGATTGATTAAATGTAGGTTCATCCGATCAAACTACCAACTTTACATTTACCTGTAGGCACTTTCTAAAACTATACTATACATTAGCAGCAAATCACTCACTTGATGCCAACTTTCCTGTTGATGAACTCGCTGGACAGCTTCTCCTTCCTGTAAGCCAGCTCCTAAAAAACAGCAGCAGAGCATCAGCAGACAGAAGGAGGAATTATTTGTCTTTTCCTTCAGCATTTATAAGATTACTGTTGACTCAGAACTTGATCGTTCCATTGTACTCAGAGTCGTCGTCATAGCAACAAACTAGCAGAAGGGAGGAAACGTACTCAAGTATGTTACTGTAGTATTTGATGTAATTAACTACGAGACAAAACTAAAGTGTCCCTCTTCCTGTTTGGTTGCGAATAGTTGATTTAAAAGTCATTATTCTGCAGCCACAGCATTGTGCTGTATACATTTCCTAAAGGACCAACACAATTTGGTTGTAGAGAAAACATTACTGGATATTTGCAGGTCTTGCCGTCGGGGTACACCACCTCAGCCTCCTCCACCCTGAAAGAGCACGAAGGACAAATGAAGAAGAATGAAGAACAAATCCTGCAATAAGCTAATGCTCTCGGCCCTCAGTGGATCCACCATGTCCCCCATTTAATATGAAGACAATGAACCGGTATCTTGGTCACCAAACCTCAATAATTGAGGATCATTTGTTGAGTAATATTATTTAGTCATTATTACTATGAGTGGGGTAATGCTGGGCCATAAGAAACACACAAACAAAAAGGCTTCCAGCGAATCGTCTCGTCGTCTCCACGGAAACAACAAGCCGTGACTTGAGTGGCTCACGTGAAAGGCTGTGCGCAGTACTCGCTGAACATGGTCACCATCATGTCCAACACGATCTTCGCCTGCAGGGAACAAGAGGAGCAGAGAGCGGCTTGAGGTCACGAGTCTCTGGTGGATTTATGCGTTTCTCCTCTCGGCCGTACCTTCGTCACGTCTGTGGCCGTACACTCAATGAAGACGTTCTTTGTCTCCAGGGAGATTTTTGAATGGTCACCTGGGAAGAAACAAAAAAAATGATGTTTAATATCATAACAGGGTGAATCGTGTATTATGAGGTATTCTAAAGTTCATATTTATTTTTGTGCTTTGTAATTCTACTTTCCTAGTGTTGTTTATTTACTCTTCTTTTTTAACGTTTGTGTTTAAAGAAACTGCAACTATGCGATGTGTGCGAGCTGGGAAGTTACAGCTGTAACAATTCAGTGCGTCAGATCATTAGTACCCCGAGACACTGCTCACCGTTGATGATGGGCGGCATGGACAGGACGACGCCATTGCTGTCGTAGATGACGGGGTACACGGGCTTGTCCTCGATGATGTGAAGGAAATGCTTCAGGTGGCTGTCCGTCTGCACGAATCACAGAGAACAACAGCCAGGTCAGAACAAACAAACTGCTCCTGCTCCTCCTCCTCCTCCTCCTCCGACCGACGCCCCCCACCTTGTAGAGGCTCATGAGCTGGGTGGCGGTGTACTCTTTGGTCTGGTTCAGGGGCTTGAAGCTGATCTCTCCTGGAGGTTTGGCCGTGTAGGTGAAAGGACCGGAGATGGTGTCCAGGTCATGAGTGCCGATGGCCACCAGGCTCCTCTTCCTGCGTGCAAAAGGAGAGCAAGGTAACAATGGAGTTACATGGCACAGAGGCTCTTGATCTCTTCAAACCACACAAACACTTTAAATAATGTGGTATTTAGCCCAGAAGCCTCATTTGTTCTCACATGGATCACACGTTCAACAGGGTCACCGAGCACTTAAACAGTCAACCCTGGTTAAATATTGTGCCATTTAATTCCACCTGCCCCGTCAGACCAGCAGCAGATGCAGCGGCTGCAACACCCCAGGAACATTTGACAACCTGCAGGAGAACTAACAGATGGTGTTCTGTTGTACTGCGCTGATCTGACCTGCAGACGTTTTGGTGGAGTTTGTCCTGCAGCTCGATGAAGCTGTCGTAGCGTTCCTGTGTGAAGGTGATGTTCCTCAACACTGCGGCCACGGCATGCGGTCGCACCGCCGCCGTCTGCACACATGAAATCATGACTAGGGTTACCATGGTAATACATGTATTTAGGATTTGTAAAGTAGACTAAGGAAGGTCTCAGGCCACAAGCGGTTATAATTATGACTGCCGCCACCCACCTCCTTGGTAATAACAAGCCGCTGAGGCTCCCCGCTGACCGGGCGAACACGTCTGTAGCGAGGTGCCTCCATCCTGCAACACAAACACAACCGCAGTGCCAACACTGAGGTCTAAACGCACTTCACACTCAGCTTGGCATCAAGAGTTACTACAGGGGAACTTTCATTTTGTGTTGTTTTTGACAGTCCGTGTTGAAGTGGTAGAGTCCCCAGCACCAGGGTCCCTTTAGAAAACCGCTCATTCTACTGCAGCTAGGCTGCCTTCAGAACAGACAACGTGAGGGACGGGAGTGTTGACATAATGGAAGACATCGGTGGGCTCCGAGGTAGCATGCTAGCATTAGCAGATCAAATCGATCAACATGGGTTTTCTGCAGATACGATTTTGACACATTGGGTTTTTTTTGGAAATACTAGGGAGCGGATAAGTGCTCTTCAAGATGTATACATAGACGACGAAGTTTTAAATTGTTTAAGACTGATTGAGCACCGCGTGCGTGTGGAAGAGGTCCAAGTTGATGAAGTCAACATTAGCGCTGGTACTACAAGCACAGGTGCTGGACGCCCGCCTCTGGATATTCCTGGGGACAAGCTGGCTAACTTTGTGTTGTCCGGTCTATCAACCCGAGAAATCCAATATCCAGGAATATCCAGAGGCGGGCGTCCAGTACCAGCGCTAATCTCACGTCCCTTAGCCAGCCTTCTTTTGCACACGGCTCTGTTGTCTGTTCTGAATGTTAGATGTAGCCACGCCCCCTGATTTGCTTATAAAAATGTGAAATGTAAAACGGCATTATGAAATAAAAGTCTCTGGAAACGAAAAGTGGCATTATGAAATAAAAGTCTCTGGAAACGAAAAGTGGCATTATGAAATAAAAGTACCATGAAATGAAAAGTGGCATTATGAAATAAACGTACCATGAAATGAAAAGTGGCATTATGAAATAAACGTACCATGAAATGAAAAGTGGCATTATGAAATAAACGTAACATGAAATGAAAAGTGGCATTATGAAATAAAAGTACCATGAAATGAAAAGTGGCATTATGAAATAAACGTACCATGAAATGAAAAGTGGCATTATGAAATAAAAGTACCATGAAATGATTAAACGTATTTAATATGTATGTATTTATTGCCTAATTCATTTATTTCATGATGTATTAAAATGCATATTTCATGTATTTATTAATTTATTTAATTTTGACTAAAACGGCATTCCCTGGAGGAGACGGGGTTCAAGCACAAAGGGTCACCTGCGTGACTTCATCCCATCTTGCAGGGGTTCAGCGTGCATTAAAAATAACTAACTGGAAAGGGGCAATCTTATTGTTGATGCAGGAACCTCAAACACACGGTCACCCACAGCAGTATGAAAACCACCCACTTGTTCATGAAGACCTGCAGGCCACGGACCAGCCCCTCCAGACACAGCAGGTCATAGCGGTTAGCTGGTACGTCAATCTTGTACAGGATGACGTCAGACGCCCCCGAGGCCTTGGAGCCGCCTTGCTCCCGGCTGATTATCTCCTTCTCCGAGGTCTGGAGTCAGAACAGAGTCAAGTGGTTACACGTCACAGATCAGGAGATGTCGCTGAGCAAAAGATGACGGATCACTGCAAACGATCGGTTTTATTTGTGTTGTGTGTGTGTGCGGTTTGATCTGCTTTTTAACATTGTTTACTCACAATTTCATCCAGCTCCAACCCATACTCAAAGCACAGCTCGTCAAACTCCTCATCCGCTGAAAGAAGAAATAACCACTTACTCCCTGATAAACAGCTGTATGAATGTTAAGTCCTCACCGGCTGCCTGCTCACATTTAACTCAATAACTACATGACGCAATGACGTTGACGTCCAACAGCGACGTCAGAGCTCTGGGGAATACCACCTTCACACTGATGCCCCTATCTGCAGGATTATGTCAGTATTAAAATTAATATTTGGAAGAAACTGTATCAACGGGAAATCCCCTTTGAACGCTTTAGTAAAGATAACTTCACGTGGTGAAGATTAACGTCAGCGCGCAGCTGCTGCTGCTTCGCTAGCCGCCATGCTAATGATTTCAGGTAGTTTTCTGTCTCTCTCGGTCTTATAGAGACACGTTGGCCTTCATTTACCAGGCAGACCTTTTGTTCACTACTCGAATACGTTGTCAACCTCACGTACTGTATGTTCTGCCCAAAGCTGTGAAGAGAAGATCCCGTTTCACTCCAACAGTCGGCATGTTGGCTGCTCGTCCTCCACAGCGCTTCGGTTAAGGACCCCTCCAGCCGGCTGTAGCTGACCGGCGCGCTGCCTGGCTGAAATCCAGTTCAATTGCAAACACATCTTTTGTGGACATTCAATGGTTCCATTCGTGGGAAATTGTAATTTATTACATATTATGTGCGATCACTAATTAGCCTAACTTATTTTCTAACTATGGTTTATAAAGAGAGGTAAGCTACAAAGCTGTATAATATTTATTATTTTATATTTGCTATATTTATTTAATTTAACTAATGAAACCTATAATTATCTATTTGTTGCTGCATTTTGATCTTATATAGCTGTATAAATATATGTTTTCGTCATAATAGATATTGATTATTTTCAATGAGAAGTAAATTCGACTAAAACATTTTTTTAATAAAGTAAACAACATCAAACTACAAAATGCTTTCCAGTTAAACATCCAGTTTCATTAGCGTTCATTGTTCTCCCACCGCATAGAGTACTTATACTGAATAACAGTTGCTTATGTTGTTCTCCAACCACAAGATGCATTCAATCACCATTTATGAGCCTATGGAGAGCAATCTTAGTGGAATATTTCTGGGGAAGAAGAATGAAAATCAAAGATTGATCTCTGTTGTCCAGCATTTCAAGGATTTTAGGCAGGAAAGCTAGAAATGAGAAACAGAGGCTGAATGCACTTGAAATAAGGATGCCGTGTCAAGTGTCAGTTATTTATTATATGAGAACAGATTGTTGCACATGCATGTAATAGCAAACATCTGTGTATGAGGAGTGGCAGGATTATCATGATCGCATGACATTCCGTGCTGTGAACAGTTTGTAAATACATTTAGAAGAGAAGCCAACAGAAACGTGGTGCTCAAATTGGACATTCCTGATTAGGCTCAGTTTTACATTGAATACTTTACCATCATTCTATTATTAGTAATCAGATCCCACCGCCTGATAATGAAGGATCGCCACTACAACAATGACGACAAAAAGGAAAGAGTGCTACGGGTTTATAACATTACAGCATCCAACAGATGCAGATGAGATCGACATTATCATCAGTTTTGTGAGGCGAGGGATTCACTCGGAGCCCCAAAGCAGATAAAACTCAGCATATGAGGGGCCCCCCCAGTGACCCTGCATGTGTTTAGGGCTTAGTAGGGGCTTTTTTTCTGCCTTTTCCCATTATGTTGCCACAGGATTTAATAAATTAAGACCACAATCCCACTGCTGTGCCGCAACCGGGACTCCACAAAAAGCAACAAGTGCCCCAGTTAATGTGGCACCGGCTCGGGATGGAAGGCAGAAGTGCACGTGTGGCCTCCGAGCTCCTTCTGAACCCCCCCATGCAGTCACCTCCTCTCCATCCTGACCCGGCCCCCAGCACGCGCCACCTCAACTAGTCCAATCACGACGCAGGAAATTCCCCCCCTCATCCCTCCCTCCCAACGCGACAGCCAGCATCACGACGAGCGTGTCACTCACTTCCGGTCTCGCGCGGATGAGAGCCGGCTGGATGTCGGGACTCGACTCTGTCCGGATGAACTGAGTGGTGAGGTTTTTATTTTTTATTTTGTCGTTTGTGTTTGTATCCAGATGTGTGGGATGCTGTTGCGAATGCCTTCTCCGTTATTGTTAAAGGAGAGAACATTACGCTTACAATCAAGATGGAATATTATGTTAATGTGTCATTTAAAGTACATTTTTTTCCCGTTATAATGCATTTTTCCCCTTCGTCAGACATGTGAAACGTCTTATAACGAAATGCGTTGGTCGCCTCGTATGGCTGACGCCTAATACACGGTGTGTAATTAATCATTAACGTCACTCCGAAGTGTCGCAACGGGCGTTTCAAGTGTTTTGTTTTGAAAACTTCAAACCGGAAGTTGAGTCGCCACTGCGGCGTGTTTGACCCCCGACAGCAATATAAAGACAACTGAATGTATTACACGTGTCTCAATTATGATGGCTTATAAACACACGGTATGATTTGTTTATTGTAAAGAAATCTACATTCACTTTATATCTTTATTATTAATATTCTTAATACAGAATATGTGTTTGTTATGAAGACATTTACATGTATTATGTTTCTCTAATTATGACGAATAAGGACTTCTAAATCATAAATTCTAAAAATAAATTATTTGATGTTTGTATTAACAATATTAATATACTTTTTTGTATTTCACAAGCTATACTCATTGCAATGAGCATATTTGCTGTTTTAAACGGCAGCAAAACTCTCTTTACACTTTACAGAGACATATTTATAGAAATAATTACACACTTGTTACAACCAAAGGCCAGAATTTAAATCTCTGTCACCACAGTCGTCACTAACTAATCACTCTCCTGCGTTCCCTCGTGTAAAATAACTTTTTTTTTAAAACACAGCTGACTGGAAGTGGGCCGAGACAAAGATTACTGAACGCCGCCGCCTCGAACTGTCCGGACACAGACGCCATTGTCCTGTAAGGAATGGTCCGGTTGGATTAGACGCACACACGCCGTCACACTCATCCCCCGTTATTTGGGGGAACCTTGTTTTCTCAGAAAGGCACGAAGAAGGAAATAGTTTGTCACGTCTGCCAGCGGTTTATGTTTTGCACACAAGACGATCCGGCCTGACCCACTTAATCCGCCCGTCGTGTTTTCGCTCTCGCTGAAATCAGAATTGAAAGCCGCCTTGTTTGCTTGTGCAATCACTTAGATTACGTCCCTATGTTTCATATTTTGGCAAATAGTCGACAGTTAATGTGTACAAATCCGCGCCGCACCTCCACCCTAAACATACGTCCATGCCACACACACACACACACACACATTGGTTGACGCCGGAGTCAACACAATGGCGGCGTTGAACCCTCTGCGAGGCTGCAGGGCCCAAAGCTTCGGTGACGTCGGCGAACAAAAGGGCCCATTTACAGCAGCTCTTCGAGGAAGCAAACGCAGAGAGAAAGAAACACACACCAGCTCACCCCACCACTACGTGCACCGCGTCACAACATTACCCAGTTAATCCCGCTTCATCCATCCTGCTCTTGGGAAACAAAAGTAATCTGCTTTGAATTTGAAGAATCTTGATTTATTCCCTCAGTAAACAAAGTAAACATGAGTTTATTGTCACAATCTCTAGTTGAAGTCTTCTTCAATGCAGGACGATGTTCACCTTATGGTCCATGTCGAGTCAAACGGACCATAAATCCTAATCTGCACGTTCCCTGTAGTTTGCACTGTTCGCATTGTTAGCTGCCCAGCACCTTTTTGAAGTTGTTCTTTTCACCACTCACCTGTAGCTGCCCTGTTCTTTCTCCTATTGCCCAATAGTTAATGTTACCCAGTTGCTCAGACTACTTCTCTACGGCCTCCATTTAATTACCACCGCCTTTATGCAAAAAAAACAAATCCGATTGGACGGAGAAACAGACTTTTGGGAAGCTGGAGCGTCCTGCGAACACGCTGGGCCTCCGGGCCTGGAAACAAGACACACCGAGCAACAGCGCCGAGCGCAGAGTCCACATCCCACAGGGAACAGATGGTAGCCTGGGAGATCCCTGCTGCTAAAGGAAAATGCCTTGATTTATTTATGAGTCTCAAAGGGACACTTGAGGGACGAGTGCTCTGGTGAGATGAGGAGGGCGCGTCAGAGGACAGTTTCGTGAGGGGATGGATGGAGATTCAGGGGGGCGAGATGTATCCCTCGTATGAATAATGTAATATTAGTGCTGCTCGAACAATCTGCCTTCACAGGGTGAGAGAGTGTGTGTGCGTGTGTGCGTTTGTGTAGATTCTCACACCATCCTGACGTGCGTGTCGATGGACTGAGTAGAAATGTCAATAAGCATTATGGTTATTTCTCTGGTGGCCATGTAGACTGTATCAAGCCCTATTTCACAATAAGAGAAGACATATTTAGATAACGGTGTAAAATACTTGAGTTGGCAGACATCACAAAAACTGCCTTTTTAATCATAAAAATCATCGTTCATCTTTGCCCCTCGTACAAATTAATAATTACTTTAACATTTACGTATCGAGAAGTAGTGCTAACAGGATGGTTTTCAGGAGATAACCTCGACGCTGATCTCAGTTCAGGACTCTGGACAGCTCCTGAAGTACAGTCGCAATGAGTGTGTGTGTGTCCTGAGAACATCAGGGAACACTGGTACAGTAAAGCTGGGGAGACCTTCTCTCTGAACGCCTCGGCTCCCTGCTCCTCACATTATGACCTCTGGATCGATACGCAGGAGGAAGGAGAAGGAACATTTTGTTGCGTCTCGGTTTGCCACTAACAGAAATGTCCCTGTGCTTTCTGAGCGTGCCAGACCTCATGTGTCTCATCGCTTCGTTTTGAGACTCTTGTACTTTTAAGAGCATTGTTATGAGCGCAGGCATGCTCTTATTTTGAAACCAGCCCAGCAATGAAATGTTAATGCTCTGATGCCATCTTAATGTTGTTTACTTTGCCGCAGCGTGGACCTGTTGGCGTTTCATCAAGCCGAGCTCTCTGATAGAAAGCGAGGACGAGGACACGGGGGACGGACGTCAAGACACCAAGACACCAACGTCTTCACAGCTCCACCGAGATGAAGCAGAAGGAGGACCTGAACCCCGTGCTGGTGCTCCTCTTCCACCTCGCGGTGTGGATCTACACCGCCGTCACCTTCCTGCCCTCCTACATCCTCAGCCGGGTCCCGGGACCCGACGGGGGACGCTACGGCTCCGAGGAACAGCGGGCCAAGACGGCGAAGGCCCGCTCGGCGCCGGGACGCCCCGAGGGCCCCTACCGAGCGGTGGGCGCCGCCAAGAGGCTGGCGACGTCGCTGCACCCGGGGGTGGACACCCTGGACAAGATGTTCGAGTACGCGGCCACGAGGTTCCCCCGCAGGGACTGTCTGGGGACGAGGGAGGTGGTCAGCGAGGAGGACGAGTGCCAGGGCAACGGGAAGGTGTTCAAGAAGGTGAAGGGGGGCGGAGATGGAGAATGAAAACGAGGTTTCTCATTCAGTGCGACAACGGCAATTCAGTGTAACTCTGTGTGATCTGTGTGTGTTTGGAGTTTGCACAAGCCGACTCTGAGCGTACGTCTGAATTACCTCGTTAATCCCAGCGGCCTAATCCTTCTAATCCAGTTAAACCTCGCTGTCGAAACACCTCCGAGCCGTTTAGCTTCGAGCTGTTGTTGCGTTGGGAAACAGTCGTGTACACTCATCATTACGGTGCGTGTTTGTGTGCACTACTGCTGATTAACCCCTAGGAGCCAGCAGAAGCTCACGGGTGTTTCTTCTCCTGCAGAAGAGGAAGCCTCTCTGTTGGTTATTAGTGGGAAACAGCACAGTCATGTGACTTGAGCTCTAAGATTGTGACCCGTCCTTTGTTTTTTTATCTGCTGAACCTTTCTCTGTGAACAAAATGTAACCCTGCTTCTTCCACTTATCCCCCCCCACCCCTCCCCACCTTCTGCAGGTGGTTCTGGGGGAGTACCGCTGGCTCTGCTATGAGGAAGTCCTCACAGCGGCCTCCCAGCTGGGCGGCGGCCTGGCGTCACTCGGCCAGCGGCCCAAAAACAACGTGGCCATCTTCTGCGAGACGCGAGCCGAGTGGATCGTCGCCGCGCAGGCGTGTTTCATGTGCAACTTCCCCTGTGAGTGTGTGTGTGTGAGAGGGTCATTTGAGGTCGTCTCCGTTAGCAGCATCGTTGTTGACGTCCGACGTCTAAAGCACATCAATGAGGAGTCACGAGGCAGCGACGCGTCGGGCTCATAGGAAACAAACACAAACAGTAAACATATCGTTACAGAATAATCTGTAATATTAATATAATAATAAACTCATATTACACTTTATACCTGTCGTTTGGAATGTATGCTTGATAATTGGAATAGTTAAAAAAGGCCTTTCTGACTGGCTCAAACGGTTTTCTTCTACTTTTGGTTCTGAGCAGCGTTGAAATGTGTCGAAATGATCGATTGCGTCACACACTCACATCGTTCCACAAACCAGAAATCGGTTCCGTCGGCCTCTCGTCATCTTTTTCTCTTCTTTTTCTTTTCAATCTTAGTCAGAAGTGTGACGCTTGTCGAGTCCAGGTGACTTATTTAAAAAGAGCAGAAGGCCGATTGTCACAGAGGACTTTCTAAAACCCCAAACAACGGTTTCTCGAGAGCCGCGCTGATTTACTCCTTGGTTTGTTCCCCGCGGCGGCGCATTGAGCTCTTTAAAGCGGTTCGACTGTCCTTGAAGGAGCCTTCGTTTTCCTCTGCTTCACTCTGTGCGCCATTAACGCCGCGTGCACGAGCCAGACTTTAAAAAAGCAGCGTTCTCTCCGGCAAACAGCGAGGTCACTGGATTCCAGACGGCGTGGGGGAGGAAGGGAGGAGTTATGGGTCGCAGGGGCTGATGGCGTCAGAAGAGAGAGGGGTGAGAGAGTCTACGTGAGCATCTGATGTTGACAGAGGCATCCAGGAGTCAGCCAAAGGCCCCCAGGGAACTATAACACTTGTGTGTGTCTGTGTGTGTGTGTGTTTATTGTCTCTTTGTCCAAAGGCAAACACGCTCATTATTTGGTGTTTATGCACTTGTCACATGTGCGAGCCGAATAAAGGAGACACGCAGGCTCCCCTCAGCTCAGGGTTTGTGTATTAAAGCATTAAGTATTAATGTTTTGCTCGACCAAACTAAATATGTTTGGTGCTTTCACCAAAACGAGTATTTCGGGATATTTTCCTAAACCCAATTAAAAGTTTTGTTGACGAAGGTTGTGTCCCGTGAAGGTGTTGCATTGAGAAGACTTTGTGCACGTTGTTGTTGCTGCACTTTCATTTGGGAAACAAATGGCAGATTAGTAGAAAATAGTAAAACGGCAAATGAACCGTGGCGTGAGGATACGAGGTGTTACACGCATGAATGACACAGCAGAAGTTCTGGCATATAGCAACCAAACATCTGCATCACATCTTCACCACTGGCTGCAGAGGGGAGCATGCACATTCTGCACATTCAGCAAGTCTTCTGAATTACCATGGCCCTGTTGTGTGTCTGTCTGTGCGTATATACATGTGTGGGTGTGCGTCTGTAGCCCGGCGTAGTGTTTAGATCTCACGGCTGGAGGTCTCATGGCCCTCGTCCACTCTCACTCACGCACACACAAGTGTTCCAGGCCCGGACCCATAAACCCTGGTGTCTGTCTCAGTGTATATACATGCATAATATATATAACTGGCCCAACACCTTTGAGCCGCCATCTGTGTCCGGCTTCCACTGGTGGCCCCGTGTTTAACGTCACACAGCTGTGAACTCTGGGTAATTCCCTCGGACAAAGGCGGCAGAAGCACAGACTTGTGGAAAGAGTTGGTGGTGATGTGACTTTGGGACCGGCCTAAAGCGCCTGAGAGTCTGTGGATCTGTGATGAATCGGGCGTTTTTATCCCCAAAAGATTGCCCGTCAGGGGGCGGAGCTTGCAATGGGTGACGTAATCAATGTGGGAGGGGCCAAATCAGAGGGCTGGAGACGTGCACGTCCATCATCGGTCTCCCCACACGCTTCACTGGTTGAATGATAACTCCGCCCACATGGCCGTGTCCCTATTGGCTAAAGACATTCTTATTTCTTATATATATTCACCAATTCAGATATTAAGTCCTTGTTTTTGTATCTAGTACGCTAGTTTGAGTAAACAAATGTAGCGCGTTCCAATACAACATTTTGAAATAGTCCCACCAAAACAAAATGACATTTATTTATATATTATTAATCACCAAAGAGACCAAACTCAGGTCAGGTTAACTTCTAGAAATCTACTTTTACTACATTTCATGGTTACATAGAGCATTTAAATGATTAACGTGTCACATGACTGTTGTGTAAAGAAGATTATTTATGATTGAGTCATTTGTGAAATATTCATATTCAGTTTTATGTGTGTGTGTGTGTGTGTGTTGCAGTGGTCACCCTTTACTCCACACTGGGAGGTCCGGCCATCGCCCACGGCCTGAACGAGACTCAGGTCACGCACATCATCACCAGCAGAGAGCTCCTGGAGACCAGACTCAAGGTGAGGAGACTCAGAGAATCGCTCCAAAACGGTCCCGTCTAAAAAGCTAGATCGCAAAAAAAAAAAAAGGTTTTGAACAAAGAATTACAAAAACGTCCAAAACTGAAGTCAAATATGATTAAAACACAGCTGCGAGCAACATATTGTATTTATAGATGGATTTACCTTCATCAGAGTACACAAAGTATATCGCTGCCGATAAAAAGTGAAGCAGTGTTTACATCACTGTGCTTCTCTGCTTTGTGTAACTACAACAGTAATACGAGGGCAACTGTCTGGAGAAGTGCGCCTGCTGAATGTTGAGGACTCGTTGTGACGGGTTGAATCCCCAAAGGCAGCTGGTCCTCTGGCGATTCATCGCCCTCTTTATCGAGGCGGCATAAACACAGACTCCTTTCCCACAAACCCCGGCGAGCCCAAATGTCGCTGATGCTGTCTCAGTTACTCGTCCAGGACAGAACACGGTTTTCATGGCATGTAGAGGATGTCATGTTTGTGCTCATGCTTGCGTGTGTGTGTGTGTGTCTGTGTGTGTGTGTGTTTGTCAGCCCATCCTAATTGAAGTCCCGCGGCTGCAGCACATCATTGTAGTGGACGGCGCACCGACCTCGTGGCCCGGTTATCCCCGCGGCATCAGCGTCCACAACATGGCGGCTGTTCAGAAGCTGGGAGCCAGGCCTGAGAACGGTAAGCGGCAGCCAGAGGAGCAGGGTCCGATGCCACCCGAGCAGCATCTTACAGGACCCAGCGTGAAGCCTTGTGGACACACCATTTTGTGTACTTTCGTTCTACTTTTGGAACCACTGAGCCGTTTTTTGGAGACGGGCCTCTGTGAAGAAGCCACGGCTTTGAATGGCTCAGAGAAGTCAGCGACCAATAGTCCCCCCTCTTAGCGGGATGGTCATGGCGGGGGCGGATTGGTATCGGCCCCATTAGGTCGTGTGAATGAGGAAGTGCTCACATCTGTGTCAGATTACGGCCGATACGCTGCTCGTTCAGCCAGCGGATTGGACGGGGGACGAGAGGTCGTCGCCCACTCTTCGCCTTTTCGTCTTGGCCTCTTGAACCGAGTGACCTAAAACAAGAGAAGCTGGCGGTGCCGTGTGCAGATAGAGAGGGAAGGAAGGAGGTTTGGGAGCTCTGGGATATACGGGAGGGTCATGTTTATACGCAGCACTGTTGACTTCACATGACATCAACTCTCAGAGCGCTCACTCCTCCGTACCTCGCATCCGAGCGAGAGGGAAGAGGAAGACGAGAGGCCCTCCCCTTGTTACTGCGCTGTGATTTAATGCCGCCCTCCATCCTCTGGATGTTGTTTTAGTTTCGGGGGCCTTTGTTTTTGCGCTCAGATGTCCTTATTCGGCTGTAGCTCAGCGTGCAGAGAAGCCAAAACCCTCTAATTCATTTAAACGCCTTCCGGCAACACGCTGTGTTGGCTTGTCACATACATGCATTTATTATGTACACTTTGTATGATTGAATGAGTTTGTTTGCATTGATGAAAACGGCGCCACACCACTAGTTATTTATTTATTCAGGTGCTTTGGTTTGGTAATGACGAAGCTACGCTAATCTAAGCTAAACTTGAATCAACACACCTCTGAACGTGACATCCCTTTCACTCCTTCCCTAAATAACACGATTAAAGGGGACGGGGTCACTTTATTCCTAAATGCCCGATGGCAGGATTCCTCTGCATCAGAGCGTTACGTATTAGGCTTTACTGGAAAACGTGCTCGGGTTCCATATGAAAGATTGCGTCCATGCAAAAAAGCGCTCTCGGCCTGCTAGATGAGAGGAAGTGCAAAGTAAACAGACTGACACAAAGCCGATAGCCAGAGCAGGATTAACTGAAGATAAGATGCCTGCCACATGCACACAGTTTGAGTCCCGACGTGAGAAAGACAGTTGGTGTTTTTTGGACAGCACAGTCAGACACAAGCTCTCCGCTGGGCCAAGAGAGGCCCGGTTGTTTGGTATCACAGCTGACTATTTTCCATCCGCACGTTTGAACTCGGCCTCAATCGAATTCGGGAACTAAATATTTCCGTGGCCTCTGACGCCCCTGTGCTTTTTCTTTTATTAATCGTGTTTATCCTGCACACATGCAACAAACATTAAACACGCAGAGGCCTTTATCCAAACAATGTGTCTTTGTGGACAAGTTATGAACTTGGATCCATTTTTTTTTAGGCAGTTACTCTGTGTTCTTGTCTCAGTCGATGCATGAATGCAGGTTTTGTCCCGTTAAGCTCACTCGTGTGTGTTTGCGCAGCACGTTATCGCGATGCGCCGCTGCCCTCGGACATCGCGGTCATCATGTACACCAGCGGATCCACGGGCGTACCGAAGGGTGTCATGATCTCCCACAGCAACGTCATCGCCGGCATCACGGGCATGGCCGAGAGGATACCCAACCTGAGGTAGGCCACCCACACTCCATCTACACACACATTTTGTGTGGTCAGATTTGTTGTAGTTTCCTTTTTGTGTTAATTAAATGGATTATCTGCAGGCGCAATTTCTGTACCCAGCGATCAAAAGTTGAATATTTTGTGAGGTTTTTGTCTAGAAAACATGCTGATATTCCTTTGAGTTTTTTTACAAAAATGTTTGATGAAAACATTGGCATCCTCTTAGCCTAGCTTAGCATAAAGCCTGCAAACAGGTCAAACAGATAGCTAGCCTGGCGCCGTGAAGGTGGCTCTATTATATCTAACGGTCGAGGTTTTCACGTAAAAGGAGCGTGAACACAACCATGAGGCAGCAAGCAGGATCATGCAACACAAATGTTTACATTAAAACAAAGGGACAAATGAGCGTTCTCCCACGAGATCGCAGAGGGAGGAAATGCGGAAGGAAGGGAGTACGAGCGGAGGAAATAATCGGGAGGATGGGAGTTAGCCTGAGAATATTGGAGGTTAAGTCGCTGATGTTGTAACCTCAGCGATGATGATGATGATGAAAAGGATGTTTTTCTATGTGCGTGTTGAGTAATAAAATTGATCCTTCACCAAGCCCCTCCCCCAATTTCTACCCACGTCAAAGTAACCACGGCAGTAACTAACCAGATCCAATATCATGGGAAAGACTGAGGGTGAAGCGCTTGAATCAGATGTTCAGGAGGTTAAAAAAGATAAATCAACAGGTGACAGTAGAAAAAGTTACCCAGCGCATCACCTGAAGATCAAGACAGACGATTAAATTGAGGAACAACACTGTTCCTGTTCAGGAACTATACGTGCCAGCACTAGTTAATGATACGCTAGTTAGCTAATTAGCTCCAAATCCACAAAAACAGCGTGAAGAAGAAGAAAATCCGACCAAACGGCACAAGAGTGACTGCAGGGTCGCGACGCTGACCAATGCTACGATATGATTGGCCGGTTTGTATTTCAGGGGCGGGGCTTAGTGAACTGTAGATAAAGAAGGCAGTAGGTTAGTTTTTAGTCCGAGCAAAGCAAAATGTGTATTTATGTTTAATAATCTGATGCATTCACTTAAAGGGGACTTTGGCTCCAGAGATCCTGTTGGTTTGTATGAACACGGACATTCCAGCGTGAGATGACACTGACCACTCGCGTGCACGTGTGTTCACAGCGAGGACGACACGTACATCGGATACCTGCCCCTCGCCCACGTGCTGGAGCTCAGTGCCGAGCTGGTGTGCGTCGCTTACGGCTGCAGGATCGGCTACTCCTCACCTCAGACTCTAGCCGACCAGGTAACCGGCGACGGAAACGCCACCGCTTCCGCCGATGCAAAATGGGATTTGTACAATTGAAAACTGCTTCTTCCCCTCAAAAAGTCAACCAAGATCAAGAAAGGAAGCAAGGGAGACACCAGCGCCCTGCGGCCCACCCTGATGGCAGCCGTCCCGGTACGTTCCACTCACATTCCACGTCCACCGTCTCTCACTGAAATCAGTGCGAGGGGCTCAAAGATTCAGATTCCGGCTGTGGAGACGCAGCCGCGGACCCGACACGTCCAGGCCTGCTGGACAGTGTCTCTGGAGGGGCCGTGACGTGCAAACTGTCTGCCTCCTACCGCAGGACAGTTCCTGCTCTTCATCGCTCAGCAATGTTTAAAACACCCAGGGGATGCAACGGTATCAACGGCAGGATGGGCTTTCGCCCAAAAGCCGACGAGGCCGTATTTATTTAGCCAGTGACGGAGGTCCCGCCCTCCTTAAGTGCTTTCTTAGCTCTAGCGGGAGTTTACGATTTAATGTCGGGCTGTTCTTAAACGTCTGTATCCAAAGAAAATCTATTCAATCAACCAATTCAGAGTCATGTGATCATGAACCAGGAAGTACGTGGGGGGGGTTAAACTCTTTATTTGATTTATACACGAAGATACAACGTAGCTTCAACTCAACCGCTGACGTGAAGAAATAAGAAAATATAGATAGTCGCCGGCTCGTTTCTCCCCCTCTCTTACATCGTGAGACCCCCCCCCCCCCTCCATGTCCCCTCCTTCCCAGTGGTCCCAGTGTAAAGGGCAGAGGGCCCCAGTGTCTGGAACCATTCACAGCTGTAAACAGAACGTGAGAAACCCCCATGTGGTCACACACACACACACACACACACGTACAAATTGTTTGCTGTGATATGACAACAGACTGCTGCGTGGATCCTGTGTCGACTTCCTCTCTCAGTGCTTCACTGACGGACACACACACACACACACACACACACACATACACACACACACACACACACACACACACATACACACATACGCTGGGCCAGATGTGTTTTCTGTTATTATTGTTTTTGGTTTGTGCCCTTTCCCCCATTTATTTCGTCTTGATGTGTGCATTTAATTATTTCCTCTGAAGACACTAGAATAAATCTAAATGTCATCAATGTCTTTGATGTCCACGTTCTGAGTACAGTTCTTTACTGCATTTTATTTGATATGTAAATCAAATAAAATGCATGAAGCCCTCGCTTTACTTCCTGGTGGATCTACAAACAGATTGACTGCTCTGGTTTGGTCCCTTGTGATTAAGATCAAATGAAGAGCATGTGTGTCCAACATTGTCCTCATGTGTTCCTCTGGACTTTATTAAAAGACATTTGTTCGGGGGGGGTTTTAACGAGCTCTGACAATCCAGAGCTGGTCCTGATGGACTTCAGTTTCCTTTTCATGTTTGTTTTAAACCCTCCTAGTTAAAAGAAAAAATACACTAAAAGAAAACTAGTCACAAATCTGATGATGATCCCTCCGTGATGCGGATGCAATACTTTGGTTTTGTCTGAAGGATTTTCCGCTCTGAGCTGCTCCTCACATCTCAAACCTTTATTTTATTGCAGGGGAGATACATACTTCTCCCAACGTCTGCGCGTCCATCTTATCCTCCTCTCATTCGATCACGTGGCCTCGGCTTTTTCCTCTCACCCGCGTCTCATCACCTCTCCCCCTTTCCCCCCTACCTCACCTGCGACCCGGGTTCCAGGAGATAATGGACCGCATCTACAAGAACGTGATGACCAAGGTGGAGGAGATGAGCCGCGTCCAGAGAACGCTCTTCACTCTGGCGTACAACTACAAGCTGGAGCAGCTGGCCAAAGGAAACGGCACCCCGCTGTGCGACAGGTGCGCTCGTTGTCCCAGCGGAAGAACCTCCCCGCGGCCCCCTCGCGTTCTCCCTCCCAACACTCCTCTTCTGCTTTACGTCCGTCCAGGCTGGTGTTCGGGAAAGTGCGCTCTCTGCTGGGGGGTCGGACGCGAGTGCTGTTGTCGGGCGGCGCGCCGCTCTCCGCCGCCACGCAGCGCTTCATGAACGTGTGTTTCTGCTGCCCGGTGGGTCAGGGGTACGGCCTGACGGAGACCTGCGGAGCCGGGACCATCAGCGAACGTGAGCGCCGACGGGAGTCCGAAAGGATGCGGCGGGGGGGTTGCAGATTGTACAGCACTCAAAAATTAAAATGAACAGGGGAAAATAGCATAATAATAAATATATAGACCGATAGATATCCTGGCACAAATGAGAGAAATGGCATATCAGCCTCAGCTTTAATGTTTAATCCCACTTAGCAAATGTTAGCATGCTAACGCACTAAACTCTGGCGCATGCTTCTGCGTCGTTGTGTTGACGCACTCGTTTCAATTCATGGTACTAAAAGTCATATTGTCATATTTACGCATTTCTTCTGACAAAAGTTCTTCAATCTGATCCGTTCTCTCGTAAACATTCTTCGTTTTAATAATGGCGGTATTGTGCTATGAAAACGGAAATGTGAGACTCCGTAAATGACGTAGTTAGCGGACCAATCGCAGCCTTGTGCGCTGCGCGACGCTAGGCTAGAAAAATGGGTCGGCGCACGCAAGGACGCAAGGAGGTGTGAAAAGACACGCAAGGGACACGCAAGGGGGTCTTGCGTCTGTGGCGCTCTGAAAACGCAGAAGCATAAACTAGTCTTCAGTTGGTGAGCATTATGAAATGTGCGTCAGGATGTTAGCACGGAGCTAACTGAAAAACTAGTTAAGGAAGCTATTCAACAAGAATTACAATTAAGAAGTAATTGATCTTGAACACGTATTCTTACATAATTTGCTCCAAAAGATTCATTAACTGGAGAAAACTGGAAAAAAAAAGTTTGTTGTGATGTTAGGGGAAACATTTGCGATAGAAGATGCTAGAGGACACGATCAACATTAGCGACAAATCCTTGTGCGCTAAATTAGCATCACATTTTTAGCCTGTTTGGAAATTAGGGAGATTTGAGCTCATGTTTTGGGAAATAAAGACAAACGATCAAACTCCCCACAAAAAATGCAGACATTACTCACTTAGCTGGGAAATTGTTTTCTTCTCTCCTGACGATGTGCGCCGGAGAATGTCGCTCATATCTGTGGTGGACACGGCGGTCCCAATAATCGTTTTTGTAAACCTTTCAGCTAATATGTATTAGCTGTTATTGACGAGACATTTGCCCCCCTACCAGAAAATAACTAAAAAATAAAAGTACTGCAGCGTTTCCCAGGCGGACCGAACCCTCAGCGGCTCGGGACTTTCTGCTGCGGTCGGGAACACACATTTAAGGACATTCCTTTGGGATGGCGAGGGGGGGAAAGTGACGTCGCGACGGAGATAAATGTCGTGCCAAACGACGCTATGGAGCCTCCTGATCACGAGTGATTTGTCCTGTTCTAGTCTGGGATTACAGCACTGGGAGAGTAGGCGGGCCACTGGTTTGCTGTGAGATCAAACTCAAAGACTGGGTGGAAGGTGAGACAGCACACACACACACACACACACACACACACACGCGATATTAATGAAAGGAAACCGGTCACATGGGTTCCAAAGAACATGTGTCGGCCCCGGTTGCCCTTTCTTTCTTGCATGAAATGTCACGCATGCTCCTTTCTGGGTTCCATCCCCCGTTAATCGCTCCCGAGGACTCTGAGACCGAACCTTGTAAGGAAAAGCATTCTTCTTAGTCCTTCCCGTACACTTCCATCCTTTTTTTACGCAAGGGATCATAACTCGTTTTTATTACACTCTAGATCTTGATACTTATCTAGTTTATTGGTTTACGGAGCAGAAATGGATTTTAGAATAAACAATCAGTTTTCTTATTTTTATTCTGTTGCTGAATCCAGAGAACTGCAGGTTTGTTTTTTTAATTGCATTTTCATCCATTTTTAAAATCCCGCTTTCAGGTGGTTACCGTAAAACCGACAGGCCACATCCCAGAGGGGAGATCCTGATTGGCGGGCCCAACGTCACCATGGGATACTACAAGAACGAGGCGAAAAACCAAGAAGACTTCTTCGCCGACGAGAACGGCCAGAGGTGGTTCTGCACCGGAGACATCGGAGAGTTTCACCGCGATGGCTGCCTCAAGATCATCGGTGAGGAGAGACGGATGGAGGGAGGACCGAGAGGAGAGCAGAGGGCGTATGGTTGCTTCTGTAGAACCAAGGGCTAATCTGTCTTTGCATAGACATCATCTCTCCAGACTCAACGTAACGGATCAGATTGTACGTCACGGACACCACAATGCCCCCACGGTCCTGTGAACTTCACTCAGCCAGAACCCCAAAATGTCCACCGTTACCTCAACAACGGCAGTCAGATATCAGTGGGAAACGTGTCCTCTTTGCAAAAAACACATCCATGCGTCTGGTCGTGCACGTTGAAATACGGATCATCATGTTCTCTGCTGTGTTTCTCAGATCGTAAGAAGGACCTGGTGAAGTTGCAGGCGGGAGAGTACGTCTCTCTGGGGAAGGTGGAGGCCATGTTGAAGAACTGCCCTCTGGTCGACAACATCTGTGCCTACGCCAACAGGTGTGTGTTCCTTTGTGTGTTAGCGCATCCGTGAGAATTCTTCACCGTCAGGGGCTGAATGTTAAAATGCGTCACGGATCAATCTGGCAGACGATTATCAAGCTTCGTGTATCCTGGCACAGTTGTTACGAATGGGAAGAAAACAGGATGGAAAACAGGTTTTTTAACATCAGCATCAATGGGGCCGTTGCCCGATGTGTTAAAGCTGCATTTTATCTGCTGTCCACCAGGGGCGACACCTATAGAAGTCTATGAGAAAATGACTCTACTTCTCTGTAGTGACCAGCAGGGGGCGACTCCTCTGCTCCCATAGACGTCTATGAGGAAATGACTCTACTTCTCTGTAGTGACCAGCAGGGGGCGACTCCTCTGCTCCCATAGACGTCTATGAGGAAATGACTCTGGATTTATTCCCTCTGTAAACATTGTAAACATGAGTTTATGGTCTCAGTCTCTAGTTTCAAGTCTTCTTCAATACGGCGTGATGTTCATTTAGTAGATTATGGTCCACTTAAAGAGTAAAACAGACCATCTTCATGTGACTAACGCTGAATGTAAACAGAAGCTTTGATTGTGAACAGAAAACCTGCTCACGCTCCGCTCGGGAATGTTTCCATTCCCTTTTACGGGAAACAAACGTTAGTGACGAACCGCTCTTCCGCTTCGACGTCCCTTCGTCGGCGTCCTCCCGCTCTGCAGCAATGAGGCGTACGTGGTCGGCTTCGTGGTGCCCAATCAGAAGCAGCTGTCGGCTCTGGCCGAGCAGTACGGCATCCGAGGCTCCACCGAGGAGCTGTGCGCCAGCGAAGCTGTGGAGGAGCTGGTCCTCAAGGTCATCACAGAGGCCGCCCTGGCAGGTGAGGAGACGTTTCTCTTTTCTTCCGCGAACGCCTTTTCGTGGGGGCTCGTGGTCAACGCTCCGCCCTCTCCCGCCGCAGCCCAGCTGGAGCGCTTCGAGATCCCCCGCAAGATCTGCCTGAGCGCCGACCCGTGGACCCCCGAGACGGGGCTGGTGACCGACGCCTTCAAGCTCAAGCGGCAGGAGCTGAAGACGCGCTACCGAGACGACATCCAGAGGATGTACGGCGGGAAGTGACGGCGAGGATCGGCGGCAATTGGTCCTTTTGGTTCCCAAAGCACAGACCAGCACTCTGAACTATCCCTGCTGCCCTCTCACTGCCCCCCCCCCCCACCCCCGCTCCTCCTACTTGCCCCGCGAACACAAGAGACCTGAATCTGTGATGAATACCAAGAAAAACACTTCTGCCCCCCCCACCCCTCCCTCCTTTTTTTCCATTAGCCCAGGTGTACGACCTCTTTGTGGGGGGGGATTCTTTATTGTTCCAGATGTGAGTTATGAAACAGCTGGTGATGTCTGTTGAACTCCTTCTAGGGGCCAAAGCGAGAGGCTCCGGTTGGCGGACATGTTGCTTGGCGCCGATTGTGACATTAGATCGGTTAAATCTCTCCTCCAGTTCATCTGCTTCTTTTAACGTGAAGGTTTGAGATTTCCTTCTTCCTGCAGGTCAGGAGACGTCCAGTCAAGTCCTCTGTGTTCCTTCTATTTGTCCACATGTTTTGAGTTTTTGTCTCCCACCCACAGTCGGGACGTTGACTCCCACGGTGGCGGGACGCGTCTCCCATCGGCACATCTCGATACCAAAAAGCACAAAGCCAGAGCCGGTTGGTAAGGAAATTACTACCGAGGTCATGAGTCATCAACATTAAGGCCGCGACAAATGGAACCTAATATTCTTACTTAAAAAGAAAAGAAACAACGATGCTCTGTTGTTTAGTCTATTGCATTTTCCTACAGTGACATACTTTTTGTATGTGCATAAAAAGGCGCACGTTTTACAGACCAAATGACTGTGTAACATTTGATAAATCCCAGTGCAACATGAAAATGGATCATGATTACGGGATAAACACATAGAGCGGGTTTGGAACAAATGACGAGGGTTACTTATGGACATCGTCCCTCACGTGTGACACCTGCTGACTTCACTCTCGTGACTCATGAGTCACGCATCTGCCATTCCTTTCCAGCCACACGCACACACACGTATGTGGAGCTGTGGTACGCAGAGGAAACACGTGTTCAGCCTCTTTTGTGACTCCAGCTTCAGTGACTGGTTTTATTTTTGTGCCGAGAGTCAACCTTGTAACAGACGTGTATCCAACTATTTATTTGCTATTTGAAAAATTACCCAAATTGAAGTAAATAAAGATTGTGTTCGGTCTACATGCAGGAGTGTTTTTATTGTTATGGAGCATAAATATAACGTAAGTGGACTTAATTGAATCTGGATGTGGAATTTGTGCGACTAAAGTATGTTTATTCATATGTGCAGTTCGAATAAAGGAAATCAGTGATTCAACCCGTATGGAATTCAAGCATCAATGCTCGTCATTTATAAGACAAGGAAAAGACATGGAGACACATCGCCGTTGTCAAAATGAGTCTTCGAAGCTTAAAGGAAATCCGTCATTTGGAGAAGAAAGAAAGCCACCGATGGAATGACAGAAATAATAAATATCAGAATGAAAGAAATGAATCTGACGTGTGCTGCAAACAGAAGAAAACCATCAGATCTGCTCGTGTTGACGTATAATTGTGCACCCGGTGACAATAGTATCGTCTCCTGCACTACTTGGTTTTGTTTTCCATGCATTTGCAGTGTGTACATTCATTCATTTCACATTTGTGCATGAAAAGAAATAAGGGTGTTGACGCCCTGCGTGCTCACACACGGTGTGTGTGTGACGGGTGTGATGACATGGGATTCCCTTCATGGCGCCCGCTCACGTCCCCCCGGCTCTCTTTCTATTGGACGCTCAGTGGGTCTGATTTCATTAGAGTCCTCTGGAGGCGCGAACGTTGCAAGACGCCGATAGTTTCAACAAACTCAGGGCCTCCGTCCGGGACTCGTCTTTCAGTCCCTCGTCATGTGACTGGTGACGCTCCGGGGTCTCTGTATAAATAACTACAGGCTTTTGAGGTGCTGCCAAACTCCAGAAGAGCAGCAAGAAGAAGGTTCACTTGAGACTTTGCTCGTCACTTTGGTGAGTGGACAGTTTATGATTTGGTTATCGCTTTTATACACATATAAATGTATACGCTTGTTTGTATAAACTGGACCATTATGTGTTGACTTCTGGGAACGTTTTCTAAACAGAACCTTTCTTTGAAAAAGACTTGTATCCTAATGGAAAGTGTGCATGGTACATTTTTTTAATGTTTTTATAAAAAACTAAGCGTGTGCGCCGAATGTCACTTTCCTTCAGTGAAGCTGCTTGAACCCAAACTGCCTCATCGATCATCACATCACATTACAGGTCATTTAGCTGACTTCCATTACACTACATTATCGTCACATGAGGAGCCGCGTTTATTCAGAGCTTCTTCATCACAATTTACATTTACGTTTGTGCTCATCGGTCTTTTCCAGCTTCCACGCGAGCGGCACTGAGGAGAAATGGAGCACGTGGACAACTCCACCGTTTCCCCCGCGCGGCTCGTGCACGCGCAGAGCAGCGCGGGCTCGGGGGCGGAGCGGGGCGACGGGAGCGCGTACCTGTACATACTGATCGTCGTGTCCTTCTACGGGATCTTCCTCTCCGGCATAATGCTCGGCTACGTGCGCTCCAAGCGGCGGGAGAAGAGGAGGACCAACGTCTTCACGCGCCTCGTGCACGAGGAGGAGCAGCGGGAGTGGGGCGCGCTGCCCAAGAAGCACAGCCTCACCTTTCCCGCCGCCGCCGCCGCGTCGGAGCTGCGCGCGCTGCAGCTGTCCCCGCCCCTCTGCAGTAACCACGGAAACCACTTCGGGCACCTCTACTGCGGGAGCGCGCTGCCGTCCCCGCTGGCGTGCGCGCTGTGCACGGAGCAGAGCAGCGTCAGCTCGCTGGGCTCGTCCGCGGACACGCGCCTCGCCATCGAGGAAGAGGTGTCGGACGGCGGCGCGCAGGAGGAGGCGTCGGAGGAGAACGTGAAGCGAGGCTCCGGCATCGGCGTGCACGACTCAGGCTGAGCTCCCAATAACAAAACCACAACCACAACAACAACAACAACAACAACAACAACCACGTGTTAGAAACGTCACCTGCAGAGGAAGCCACGTGGCGCAAAGCAAACGGCGAGCACGAACACGACGACGACGCCGAGGCCTCTGCGATCGGCGTCAGGCGCTCAGGGGCCCTCTGGCTGTTGGGCCCGCGGGCGGCGACGCCGGCGCTCAACTCGACACGACGTTATTCACCGCCCGCGGGGACGCGCACGCACACGCTCACAAGTACAGCTGCTGAAATCCCCGAATCCCAAAACCGATAGTCAATAAACTGCTGCTCTCTACAAAAGAGTCGAATATGATATTAAAAGAGGCGACACCGTTTACTGTGACTCGCCGGCGCCCCCCCTTTGCTTTCTGCTGATGACTCACCCTGCAGGAGGCCGGCTGCTTCCTTCTCTCTGTCTGTATTTTCTTTGGGGGGGGGGCTATATGGACTGAACTTGACCAGCTCTGGCCAACTCGGTCTTGAGTATGAAACGTACCTGGAACCCACTTGAAGGATCGCCTGCAACGCGCTGAAGCTCGGCGATGGACTCGGCGACGCATCGGTTTACTTGACCACGTGCACCGCGCGCGGCGTCTGTGCGCGTGTGTTTGGCTTCACGAGTCTTGATTTGAGTCTTTGCCGTGTTTCGGGAACAAATAAATGCTTATGAATTGACGTGAGGCGTGTTTGTTTGATTCTTTCGCTAAGACGCTTCGCCAGCGGGGGGCGCTCCTGGGCTTTGCTTCAATTGTCAGCTTACTTTTAAAAGATAAGAAATGGGGTCTCTGTTTATTGTCATTTCATTTTGAATCCTACATTAAATTGTTGGAACAGATAATAAGGAAATCAAATTAGACACAACTCTTTGGGTGGTTGTTAAGGAGCCTAAAACATAATTAATTTGTGAATTTCTATTCATTGAATAGCACTAATTTCTAGACGGGGGGGGGGGCATGGTGAGAGACCTTGAACTCCATTTAAAGGCCCACCGGACCCCCTCGTGTTGATTGACAGAAGTCAGTCACTGACACTTTTCTCTCCTCTTTTCTAGATTGAAAAAAAAAAAAAACACGCCAGGATTCAGCTTCAGGTTTTCAGCCAAAACTCTTTTTGTGTGTCTTCTTTGTACACACACACACACACACACGCTCAAAGCCAGGCTATCAGCGGCGCTGCAGGCTCCAGGTCGCATAACTCACTGCGTGACAGCTCGCCACACCGACGACGGCCAGAGGGAATGGATTCTGTGACGTACGTGCATCGACAGAGTAATAGCCTTCATGGGCCCGACAGCGTCAGCAGCGGCCCGGGGTGGGATGTGTGTGTGTGTGTGTGTGTGTGTGTGTGTGTGTGTGTGTGTGTGTGTGTGTGTGTGCGTGAGTGTGAATGGATTTCGATCCGTCTCCTCTCTCATGGAGACATTTTGAATTTAGCAGCATTGCAGATGCAGCTGCAGCGCATCGCTCGGACGACTCGGCTCAGCGAGCCGACTTCATGGTCTCAGTCTTTAGTTTCAAGTCAATTGTGGTCCATTTACAGTCAAACAGACCACCAAGCAGGGGGTGGCTTAGGGCGGGGCTTGCTGTGATTGACAGCTTGCTATCACCAGGTGAATTGTGTGTTTTCGTCATCCAAAAACACGCTCACGGTTAAGTTGCACTTGGTGAGATGACCAACAGGAGGCTTCAAAACTGCAGTCGCCAGGCCGATTGGTGACGTCACGGTGACCACGCCCCCTTCTTAAGGTACTACACAGGTGTCTTTGAACTATAATCAAGTAAAGTTCATCAGTTCCGTATCTTGTGAAGAAGCTGAAGCTGCATTTTTATGAATGTACATAAAAAAATGTGTGGATTCCTGCAAAGGAAACGAATCTCTTCGTCATATTTCCCACCAAACATACCGGACCCCCCCCCCCCCACTGTCCACAGCAAACACACCATCCATTCCTCTTGGCGGCCGCGTCCTCTCTGACGTGCGCGTGAGAGGGACAGCGTGACCGAAAGGTTCTTTTCTCAGGAGAAAGAGCGAGTGCGAGCGAGCGGGGTGAGAACAAACAAGCAGATGCGCTGCGTTGAGCGTCTCCAGCGCCGTGAGGCAGGATGTTTGTCATCAGTGTCCCCCCCCCCTCCCCCTCCCACTCCCTCCCTGTGGGAGTCGGCGGCGGGGACCGCGTCCCTGCCTCGGGCCTCGCACATGCACGCCGTCAACGGGGTTTCCCGAACCCGCCGCCCTTCTCCCCCATTTCCGTTCTCACACCCAGCAAGCTGAAGACTTCATATTTCTCAGGCGAAGGTGGAGACCCAAGCAGAGCTAAAATCACACCAGTGAGGTCACAGGTCCCGATGGTGACGTAGCTCGTGTTGGATAGAAGTGAACCCACAGGAGGGGCAGTTAGCTATGACACGTTAGGTGATGATAAGTTGACATCTTTAACGGTTCTCTCGCTGCCCCCTAGTGGCAAACTACCAAAGATGAACCCTGTCAGAGGTGAATATTTGTCGTGATTGATGTCCTTTCAGCGAAATTTGAGCTTTAGAACAATTGCCAACACCTCATTATGTTTGAGTAAAATGTGAAGTGAGAATATTCCGGTAAATCCTAAATCAATCCGTCTTTTTGGACCCTCTCACCCGACTGGAGAAGATGCACTCAGAGCTCTTGTCTCCCTCATCCTGTTGACTGTGTTGTGCAGCTCACTGCATGATATGATGGAGCTTATTATAAGGAACCACAACTTCTTCCAGAGGTCTCGTCTCCACTCGGACCCTTTGATTTAACCCCGGAGACTATTAGAGCTCGTCCTCCGAAAGCGGCTCATTATTATCGTGTTTGTTTGAGGCGCTAATCTCCAATTCACACAACCACGGGCACCAGTCTGTTGAGACTGAGACTGGTCTGTTTAGACCACGAAGGACTTCGGGGCTTCGATCTGGGCCGAAAAGAGTCCACGCTTGACACTCCCTTGTCCAAAAATACTCTCCCGCACACCTGTCCGGGCGAACAAAAAGAGGAAGCCAACGGGCCGGAATGTTCGCTTGTGTCTCCGTGTCACTGCGTAGAAACAAACAGCAGTCGAGAGCCTTTTTTTACCTAACGCCTGTTACCATGGAGACGTAGGCCAAAGGCTAATTAGCACATGTGCTGCTGGTTCCGGGGGGGGATCGTCGAGCCGCGGAGGAGGAAGCGTCTCCGAGACGCTCGATAAATGAAGGAGACAATAAGCCACGGAGAGAAGGGGTTCACACCCAGGACGAGACAAACAACCATCACTCACACGCCCGCGAGCACTTTAGATCCACCAGGGAACCCCGGAGGAGGAAGAGAAGCCACCACACGCGGGGAGAACATGCAGACCACACACAAAGTGCTCCATGGGTTCCAACCCGAGACCTTCTTGTATGGTGACACCAGCGATTGTTTTACACTATGTTCAGTCTCTCGCTTTCTCTTGTGTTCTCTGCAAAAAAGACGCGTTGGTTGATTCTGTGAAACTTTTCTGGCCCCTTTGATACAAGTTATGACTGCGGAGAAAAGGTTGTTCTTTACAGGCAAAACACAAATGAGGTCTTAAACAGAACATTTGGTTAAATAAGAACCGTTGGAAATGATTCCATCAGATAGTAAAAGGGATGATTGAGGAGCCGTTGGACTAAATAAGTTATTAATAACAGCAATTAAAATGAGGCCGCAAACTACGCAGCACAGCCCAGTTAATTGAGCGTGCAGGAAAGATGTCCACTCCATTTAAATCAGCTGTAAAGGAGAGCAAGAGAACATGATCCAGATAACAGATAAATGAGGCGGTGCAAGAGATCTCCCCGAATCTCTGCTCGCATCGGAAAAAAAGCATAAAATATGAACCTTCGTATCAAATTCATAAGCGGTTCATCGCCGCTGTGCTGAACCGTTTCCCCCCGTGTTTTTATTTGTTTTGCTTCGTAAAAGTAGCAGAGATATGTGAACATCGTGTCACTCACAGCGTGAGCCGACTGATGACTAATGTGAAACCGTGGGGGGGTGTGGTCACATGGTCATGTGACACCGCGCCTGGCGCAGCACGTCTAACGCAGCGCGGCCTTGTCAGTGCTGTGTGTGTGTGTGTGTGTGTGTGTGTCCGAGGCTCCGGTGTGGGAGGTGTTGCTCCTTCCTGCCAGTGTTTGTTTTTTCCTGGATTGAGAGTCACAGTTCAAAGTCAAACTGGAGGAAAAGCTAAAAAGCTGCGTTTAATTCCTGGGAGGGGAACGCCAGCGGAGCGACGCCGGCCCCACCGAGCCGCACGCCACCCTCCCCAGATCCAGGAGGCCCGACTCCTCCATTCCGGCGAGGGGTTGATCCGGCACTCGAAGACCTACAGCCCCTATGGGCCTGTTGCCGTGACAACTGCAGGCCAACGCAACGTAAAGCGGGTACTGAGCCGCGCACGCTGGCACGTGGTTGTCTGTGTTTAAGGCTGCGAAACAAGGATTCTATGATTACGTCTCAACTTCCAGATGGTGCCGTTAATTAAACGCCAAAGATGTCTATCAAGCCCAGTAAGGTGGCAACATCTGGCGCGATGCAAATTTTAACACGCAATTATTTCGTAAATCGGTGATTAGCATTCTGTCAGCCAGTTTGAACCATCAGCTGGTTATTGCATCATCAGCTTTCATTGGTAACACTTGGTCTGCTTCTCAGAAACATGTCATTTGCAAGTTCCTTTTATAATTTCAGGTGTTTGATTGTAAAAAGAGATGCTATTTTTCCTCATCAAAATGTAAATGTTTATTTTTACCTCTTTACTTAAGATTTCATTAAACGTATTAATTGTCCGCCTTAACTTTTCTTTTGTTTAACTTTTTTCCAAAGCGTTTAACTGCCTCACATGGTCTTTATCGATTTGCTCAGTTGTCATGGAGATGGATCTTTCATCCGATGTTCCACTGCCCCCCGGAGACATCCATCTCCGCTGAAACCTCTGGAAACAATGCCTGCGTAAAGGAGTCTGCGTTGTTATCTTATTGTTGTAAGGTTATGAGATCCAGCTAAAAGCGCACAACCGCCAGCTCACGTTTTGCAACGGTTGCTCATTAACACAGAGATTGTGCAACGTTATCTTCTGCCTAATTAGAGGCAGGCAGGTAGCAGAGAGCTGCTGGATGGTGCAACAGGCTGCTCGGGTGCACAACAACAGACGTGTATAAAAATACCTCATTTTATCCAACTGCTGCCACACAGACGAACACACACACACGCACACACAGGTTAATGCAGTTGAACTGTGCGCAAATGTTAAAAAGAAGCAGAAGTAGCCGATTGCACATTATTATGTAGGTTTCATTAAGCATTTTCAGAGACGTTTTCACAGTAAAGTCTTGGACTTGAGTTTTTTCATATTTGTTGTTTATTTGCATGTTTATTATATTTCTAATACACCAGATGGTGTGTCACATGCTGTGATTCTGACAGTAAACAATTGTCTGAATAAATCTGTATTATAAACACAGCACGACTTTGACATGGTGAACGTGCGTCGCGAGGGGAGCGAGAAAGAGACACAATAAAAGGGACTTTTGACTCATCCAATCAGGGTATTATTCATAGACAAAAGGGACCAAACAGACAATAATCATCTGCGGCGGCTGTCAGGAAATGATACGTTTGCATGGAAACGCAGATCTGTTCGTTATCTC